TAATAAATTTTCTCTTTTCTTACAGGCCTGAATTAATTGATTTCAAATCACTTAGTAGAGATGACCACAAAGCAAATTTAGAGAATGCTTTTAGCGTAGCGGAAAATCACTTTGGTGTAACTAGGCTACTAGATCCAGAAGGTATGATTGTTTGTTTTATCTTTCCTATAACTTTGAGTTTGATTGTTTTTGGCTTGGTTACTCTTAAATCCTAATGCATAACTACATTGCATTTTAACTTTAACTGTCATTCTGCATGGGAATCAGTTTATTATTGCCTTTTCCCACAAATATTTGTTTGACAAATCTATGAATATTTTCCCTTTGTCAAAAATTGCACATTAAATTAGAGATAATTTTGGAAAAATTTTGAAAAATCAGACATTTTGTTCTTCCATCTTGTGAAAACTCCTTAACTTGCTGAAAATTGTTGACTCTGCAATGACTGACTTCATGAGAAAGGTTTTGAATCAGTACATATAAACGCAGACAGTTTTGTAAGTGTTTTATAAAACTTTAGATAACACTTGAATGAAGAATGTTGTATATCTAGGAATGTCTACCGAGGCAAAGTAGAATTGAGTAGCAAGAAGTGAAGTTACCAGTGATTTCTTAATGCGTGATATCTCTCACGTTTCTGTGAAAGCAATAACATGCTGTGGTTCACAATTCTGCCTCCTTTTAAGACCTATTCAAAATGTTCAACAAAACATCACAAAACTAAATATATTCATAAATTTAATATAAAAAACTTAATTTTTAATAATGAACACTTTTAATAATGAAATTAAGAACATCTGAATATTAACAATTTTACAGTTTTCCTAAATTATTCTAATGTGACAATAAACAGATTGTTACAATTGCAGCATCAATTTTTTCAGCCTGATTTATAAGATACATTTATTGATAATTTTTCAATTTAGAGAATAATATTGGATCAACCATACATTGGCAAGTTGATATTTATATCAATGGATTAATTAAAATAATCAGAGATCAACAGATGACTTTGTGCATTGATACATTAATGAAAAAATGGCAAGAAACGGGCTTAGAATTTCAGGAAGTGCAGAATAACGCACAACACCAAGCTGTTGTCATTTCTTAGAGAATGCAAAAATAAGACAGAAAAATAATTTCATTTGAATTTTATTTTTACAGATGTAGATCGAGTAGACCCAGATGACAAGTCTATTATGACGTACGTTTCTTCCATGTATGATGTATTTCCTGAGGTTCCTAATATTGAATCATCACTCGCAGACAATGTAAGCAGAAACCTACCATCTTTATTTCCTTTAATACAGACCCTGGCAGTTTAAAAAAGTTAATATTTTATTAATCAGGAAACTCATAATGTTCACAAATTCAAAATGGCGACTTTATTAAACTGCCGAATCACACCCTATTGACCTTTACATGAATGGCAGCCAAGATCTTATTGGGAGTGTGAAAATCATATGACTTGTTTTTGCCCCTTGAATCAGTGTTCCACTTTTCACACAAGAGGTTTCAAGTTAGTACAGATGGTTTTGTAAATGTTTCGTGAGACTGGTGATGTGTCTTGAAAACTAACTATCAAAACTTGGGTAAAACTAACGTGTACCGCGTTGGTCTACACCCAGCTCTATTGTGAATGAGGTGGACGTGATTGTGGGGAAGAATAGAGCACTATTTGAGGGAGAAAAACAAGTCATGTGGTTCACTCGCTTTCAACGAGATCTCAGCAGAATATTTCGTCCAAGGTCAAATCTACACTGATACCAGACAAGTTAATGTTGGTTATCAGTCCATATGTGCATTACTGGAAGTGAACTTCTGAGAATTATAGTATGGATAAATAGTCAGAAACTAAAAATGACTGTCAATTTACTTCTATTTCAGGAGAGAGCGCTGAGATGGGAGGAATATCAGGACTACGCCGGTCGCCTCATGCAGTGGGTCACGCACTCAACAGCACTGATGGAAGACAGGAACTTTCCAAACAATTTACAAGACACTAGACAACTATTACAACAGTTCAACCAGTACAGACTGGAAACAGTGCCTCCGAAAATGAGCGAGAAACATAAAGTTTTGGGAATGTTCAAAGAACTAGAGGTACAGTGTTATATTTGTCACAAGTTTTAGTATTGCTGCACACATACCAAAGATGGCTACTGATGCATCCTGGGTAAAGTTGAAATAATGAGCTGCATGTGACTTGTCAATAGGATTCATGTGATAGTCACATGATTTGTCTTTACCCACCTTCCCCCTCTCAAATGAGAAACTGTGCATTAAACAGATTTTTCAAAATTACTAATTTATTTTAATTCTCTTCCTTTAGAAATTGTTTGCACCAACTGGTCAGTTTCACGTACCACAGGGCCTGGATATACACGACATAGAGCAAGCGTGGGATCGACTTATGATTGCACAGCAAGAAAGAGATAAAATGCTGAGATCCGAAATCAATAGGTAAGCTGCTGTAGATATTTTAAATTATCGTACTAAAGTACAATTATCACCTATTCACATCATGTATTTAATCGTTTTATTTTTCGAGATAATCCTCATGCTTGACTCCTTAGGGTCATACATCCTGGCATTTTCTGGAGCAATCGCTCAGTAATGTCATATTGAATTGTTTATGAACTTCAAAGCTGCTAGCACGTTTTGATAAAATGGATGTGTGACGTTATACTGTCATGTATAACACTATTTCAAAATACTGTATTTGCTCTATTAAGTATACAACACTAATATAAATGACAAAGGTGTGTCTATGGTCCGAATAAGTCGTATTTTAATAGGCCAGTATACAATGCATGCAACTGTTGGATTACATTTTCTTCTAATAGAAAAAATGTTGTATTTTGTTTAGGTATACATGTTTGATTTTGAATTACCCAGTATATTTTTTTTGGATCCATAAATAACCTTGTGTGTTATTTGTCATTTGTAGATTAGAAAACTTATACCTATTAGGAGAGAAAGTCCAGAGACAAATCCGTAGAACCACCGATACATTAGATGGACTAGAAAGGAGAATAGAAGCTGATGAACCTAGGATAGATAAGATGCATCCAGCGGATGCTAAAAAGAGAGTTGATCAGATCGATGCTGGACTCAAGGTATGATATTTATAGGCCTTGGGCAGATTATTAAGGTTTCTTTTTTAATCGAGCATTTATACTGAACCAACATTTTCTGTGGGTTTTGTATGAATTATTAATTAATTTTTTCTTTGATCAATGCTGAACTTGAAATATGAACCCACATTATTTACAGGTTCTTAAAGGTTAACAAGGTTATATTTTAATCTTGAGTATTTAATGAAATGAGGGTGATATGTAAATAATTAATCAGAATAGTGTAAATAAACTAATAAATGATTCTTATCATCCTGCTGAGACTTGCCACTTGTGATTGGTTAATATTGATCATGTGATACAGTGTAACAACCATACATGTATATGAACCAACATTCATGAATATTCATAGAATGCCAATTCTTCAGAATACATGAAAACAGTTTTCTTGCAATCAAAAATTAATTATTTAATGTTGGTTTCCTGAAAGTGCCAATCAGACTCTACAGTGAATGGAATTTTTATAGACAATTTATTCTTTATTTTTTTTTACGTAGATGTGTGAGACAGCGATTCGTGAGATGTTCAACGACACCCAAGCTTTGAAGGACGGACAATATTACCAAGCTGATATAATTTACAGAAGGTGAGATGAATTCTGGGTATAAAATCGCTAATTATAAATTATTTCAAGAAGCAGCCGTATGATGGGATTACTTGATAACTTATTCAACCAACAACCTTCGCATAAAAAAAAAATTCTCATGAGTTTTAATGCAATATAGCAGTAATCTTTTTGTGATCATCTGATTTTTGTAAGCTCATGACGTAACATAGTATTCTGATTTTTGGAACAAATGGACATAATTTATCAATGGGCACGATCAAATTTTTTTTTTAAATTTATTTAGTTGACATTGCTGTTCAAAAGATTCAAATGGAGGTTTTGTAAAATGTTTCACAAAGATGAATAATAATGATACGTTTGTTAACAATGTTTTGATTTGTGTAATTGTAACGATTATTATGAGTCGTGACTTACTTTCGTTAATTAGAAATACATCAAGGAAGAAATTCACAATTATGTGAAAAAATATTTCTCTTTTAGCTAACTCTAAATTCTTTTTTTCTTCTTCTTAGAGTATTCAATTTACATGAAAGATGGTTGGCATTACGTAATAGACTACATACGAACCTTACTTCTAAAGTAGCTACCATGACATTGACGACGGAGGAAACTACATTGACAAAAAGATACGAAACAAGAACAGAGTACAGAGTTGTTGAAACAAATGAAATATTTAAATTCATTCAAGAATGTCTCATTTGGATACAGAATAAGCAGGTAAGAGAATAATACAAATTTGTAATTATTGAACCATCATCCTGTGTTATTGGATTATTTGTTATATCCATGAGTACATGCTTTGTATATTGACAGTCTAAAAATGTACTTACTAGAAAATTGCTTTCCAGTTAGTTTTTACCTTGCCTGCCATAAAGATGAAAGGAAAAGTTAAATAAGGTGGCAAGGCATTAATAGTTTCACTATGTTTGTATTTTACCGCATTAAATCAAATGACTGCATTCCAGCTCTTCATCTGTGAAAAGCTCACTCCTACAAATTTTTGTCTTTTTTTCTGACTCAGAATTTGGGAAAATTTGTTCTTCACAAAGTTATGAGCAGTTATAATTGGACTCTATAGAAACTAATTTTGCTTCTTACATTGTTTTTACTGGCATGTAGAAAGGAAAAAAGTTAATGCCTGTTCTTGTGGTTGTCGTCAGGGTTGTTAACTTTTTTAGGTGGTCATAAATACGATTTTGATTTATCTGCTTCGGCCATTGTTTCTTCTGCTTACTACTTTGTCCTTCCATTCTTGTTAACGTTGTTGTAAATGTTAACGTTATAAAATGTGGCCACAAATATAATTATGATTTGTTTCAACTATGGATCTTATGTTGTCTCGTTTCTACTCAGGCTGCCATAGACTCCCTGGACTATGGCAACGATCTGCCGAGTGTCCAGAGATATTTGCGACAACACAGTGAAGAACACCGCGTCATTACAGAATTCAAAACTAACATCGATAGATGTAGGGATGCCAAAGTAAGTATGATATATGATTTATTATAATATTTTTTTGTTGCAGCTGCATCTCATTCACAGTAATATCACTTTAGTTTGATCATTATTGTAAAATAGACACAATGAAATGTATAGGAGAGACAAATGTCTGTTGAAGATATTGCCTCATCATCATTTATTTTGTTGTTGTCTTAACAATGCAAGTGGTACTTACAACTTCTCTATTAGCTTTTCAGATTCTACGGAAATTTGAATTGTATATTACAGT